TGATGTCGACGATGATGATGATGATGATGATGATGATGATGATGATGATGATGATGATGCTGATGATGATGATGATGATGATGCTGATGCTGCTGATGATGATGATGATGATGCTGCTGCTGATGATGATGATGATGATGATGATGATGATGATGAGGGTGATGCTGATGCTGATGATGATGCTGACGATGATGAGGAGGAGCATGAGGAGGAGTTTGAGGAGGAGGAGGAGGCGGAGGAGGAGGAGGAGGAGGAGGAGGAGGAGGAGTAGGAGGAGTAGGAGAGGGGGACGTGGAGGAGGAGGCAGCGGAGAAGGAGGAGGAGGAGGACGAGGAAGAAGAGGATGATGAGGAGGAGGAGGAGTGGTGATGATGGTAATGGTGATGATGCTGATGATGCTGATGAGGATGCTGATGATCATGATTATGATGGTGATGACGATAGTGTTGTTGATGATGATGATGATGGTGAAGCTGCTGCTGATGATGGTGATGATGATGCTTCTGATGCTGATGATGTTAATGATGACGATGGCGATGCTGACTATGACAACGACGATGGTGATGACGACGAAGATGATGATGACGATGATGATGCTGCTGACACCGCCGACGATGATGATGATGATGGCGATGATGATGATGATGATGATGATGATCGTAATGCTGGTAATGATGATGATGGTGGTGATGATGATGGCTTCGTTGATGATGATGCTGTTGATGTTGATGGCGATGATGGCGATGATGATGATGATGTTGATGATGATGATGATGCCGATTCTGATGATGATGATGATGATGATGATGATGATGATGATGATGATGACGATGATGGTGATGCTGATGATCAAGGCGATGGTCATGATGACTGCGTTCATTATGGCGATGACGATGACTACGACGACCATGACGACAATGACGACCACGACGACAGTGGCGGTTACGGCGACGATAGTGATGGTGATGGTGATGGTGATGGTTATGGTGATGGTGATGGTGATAGGGGATGTGGATGGTGATGGTGATGACGGTTATGAAGAAGAAAATTATCATGATGATGATGATGATGATGGTGATGCTGATGAGGAGGATGCTGACACTGATGATTGTGATGGGGATGATTAGCATGCTGGGGGAGAAGGAGGACGAGGATGGAGCCAGAGGATGGAGGAAGGGTGGGCAAGAGCAGGATTAAGGATGACAAGGAAAAAGGAGGAGGATGGATTCTGAAGACCATGATGGTGATGATGACGATGATCATGGTGATGATGATGATGATGGTGATGTTGATGACGATGATGATGCTGCTGATGATGATGATGCTGATGATGATGATGATGGTGTTGGTGATGCTGATGGTCATGATGATGACGAGCAGGAGGAGGAGAAGAAGGATGAAGCGGGAGGAGGGGGAGGAGGAGGAGGAAGAGAAGCAGGGAGGAAGAGAAGGAGGGAGTACCAGAGTGAAACCAGTAGCACAAATGATGCTGCGATACGCCATTCCGTTCCGAGCACCTTTCTTATAAGTCCCTACAATTGTTCCGCTCATTGCGGAAAACGACCCCGTTGAATAACGGGCGCCGGAGGGCATGCCAGTTACGTAGAGGAGACCTCATTTTGAAAATGATCTGATTTCTTTCCATGTGCGTCTTCTGCACTTTCCAAGGTCTGGTCATACAGTTTGTGTACATGCCAGCTGGCATCCCCGTGTTGAAAAGGAGCTGCCGTGCATCCGTGCAGCTGTTGCACTTGCACAATGTATAGTTTCTGGTCGCGCATGGATACGGATTTCTCAGTCAAGAGCTGCACTTCGGAAACTGACGGGCCTCCGCCCATGTATTTGCGGGAAGTGCATGTATGTATGTACGTATGTATGCATGTACGGTCGGGAACTCTTGGATAGCGTGTCGCTCTGCCAGTTCTGGCCCACCACGTTTTGGCGCGACACGCTATCCACTTCTGGGCCGCCCAGCATCAACGTCCCGAACAGTTTCTTTCCCGCCCCGCGGAGTGGAGCGGCACGCCATCCACTCGCAAGGCATAGCGTGTCGACTTGGCCGCCGTGGCAACACGCCATCCAAAAGTTCCCGACCGTGTGTATGTATTATGTATGTATGTATGTATGTATGTATGTATGCATGTCTATTGTATATGGCGCGAGCGCGTCTAGCTTGCCTGCTTCCCCTGCGTCCGCCGTCCTCCTCTCCACTCCTCCATCGTCCCTCCTCTCCCGTCTCTTTCTCGGACTCTCTCGTCACCTCTCCCCCTTTCTTCTTCTCCCTCTCCGCCTCCCTCCACCCTCTGCCACTCGAGTCGATCAGAGCCACCTTCCACGAGAGCAACCCTGGCTGGGAGGAGTGGATCTGGGGCATGGACGAGGTCATCGAGCTGTTCCGGCAAGAGGGCGCCGCGATCGACCAGCTGCTCGGGACAACGTCATGCATAAACAAGAACTGCTCGCAGCTCGGAAGCTTCTCCGATTACTTCATGCACCTCAG